CCAAAAAAGCTTCTTCAAACAGTTCCTGCACCCATCTCTTGATCCCCAGGTCATAGCCAAGATGAAATATCTGGCCATACACGACCACCATAAATTAAAAACATACCAGCAGGCGAGGTTAGTGTTATTGCTAGATTTAGAGATGGCACCTGAGATATAGCTGCATCAGTTTGTTGCATTTCTAAATACTGGCAGTGAGAAATTCACATTAGTTGAAGTTGACACTTTCCGTTCTTTGAGGTCCAAGTAAACACAACATAGAAGTCCATCTCTAGCGACCTCAATAATTTCAATTCCTGCGGCTCAGTAGATGCAATTGGGAGATGGGATATCCGTGCATCCCAGTTGTTCACATTGGTTGCATTACAAAAAGAGAGGTATGGAGGGCGAGACCAACCGTCTACGGGCATCCCAGCAAGGCACGTAGAAAATGTGTCCCTGGTGATAGCAGGGACAGTCAAATGGTGTTTCGTCCTATTAAGTTGTCAAAGGTTACCTATACATTCATTTTAGGTTGCGTGGGGGCCCATGGTTGTTGCCCTAAGTATCTTAACTTAAAATTTAACCATACTACAAACAATAAAATCTTACTTATCTATACTATAAGGAATAAAACAACACAAAGGTCAAAATAACTACCTAAACATAAAAGAATCAGTAGTGTTTTCTAAAATCTTTGGTTATTTCAATATGTGATTATCTGTTGGTCTTTGGTGATATAAAGTAGGTTCCATATTCCGGCTCCTACGTTTTCTGTGATTAAGAGTAGTCTTGCTACTCCGTGTACCTTCTGCCAGTACGGTTCATGCCAGCAGTGAGCGTTGGAGCACAGGATGTACAGCAGTTCTCCTTACTCCGTATGCTCTGCAGGTTGTTTAGTTGTCACTCCACCTGTGGGAAGACTCGGGACATTGTTAGTTACTTGATTTTTACTTAGATCTGGTTTTACCCATCGTGCAGGAGATCGGACCCATTTCACTATATTATCTTGTTTGACTGCTGCATAGCCCCTCCCTTGTGTTACTAGCTGCCAGCCTGATTCCCATGTTCCTTTTTCTGGGAGGGGGGATTGTCCCCTAGATTATAGATGCAAGTTTCATTTTAAGCTTCATCCTTGTGTTCTGGTTTTGGCTGGGGCAGAGCTAACTTGCTTCACAGT